TCCCCAAGTCTAGATCTGGTCTCGCACCCAAGTCTAGATCTGGTCTCGGTCTCAAGTCTAGATCTGGTCTCGCACCCAAGTCTAGTTCTGGTCTCGGCCCCAGTCTAGATCTGGTCTCGGCCCCAGTCTAGATCTGGTCTCGTCCTGAAGTCTAGATCTGGTCTCGCCCCCAAGTCTAGATATGGTCTCGGTCCCAAGTCTAGATCTGGTCTCGACCTCAAGTCTAGATCTGGTCTCGTCCTCGTCTAGATCTGGTCTCGTCCTCGTCTAGATCTGGTCTCGTCCCCAAGTGTAGATCTGGTCTCGTCCCCAAGTCTAGATCTGGTCTCGTCCCCAAGTCTAGATCTGGTCTCGTCCCCAAGTCTAGATCTGGTCTCGTCCTCGTCTAGATCTGGTCTCGTCCCCAAGTCTAGATCTGGTCTCGTCCCCAAGTCTAGATCTGGTCTCGTCCTCAAGTCTAGATCTGGTCTCGTCCTCAAGTCTAGATCTGGTCTCGTCCTCGTCTAGATCTGGTCTCGTCCTCGTCTAGATCTGGTCTCGGTTCCAAGTCTAGATCTGGTCTCGTCCCCAAGTCTAGATCTGGTCTCGGTCCCAAGTCTAGATCTGGTCTCGTCCTCAAGTCTAGATCTGGTCTCCTCCCCAAGTCTAGATCTGGTCTCGTTCCCAAGTCTAGATCTGGTCTCGTCCCTAAGTCTAGATCTGGTCTCGTCCCCAAGTCTAGATCTGGTCTCGTCCCCAAGTCTAGATCTGGTCTCGTCCCAAAGTCTAGATCTGGTCTCGTCCTCGTCTAGATCTGGTCTCGGTCCCAAGTCTAGATCTGGTCTCGTCCTCGTCTAGATCTGGTCTCGGTCCCAAGTCTAGATCTGGTCTCGTCCCCAAGTCTAGATCTGGTCTCGGCCCAAGTCTAGATCTGGTCTCGCCCCCAAGTCTAGATCTGGTCTCGGTCCCAAGTCTATATATAGTCTCGGCCCCAAGTTTATATATAGTCTCGACCCCAAGTTTATATATAGTGTCGGTCCCAAGTTTATATATAGTCTCGCCCCCAAGTCTAGATCTGGTCTCGGCCCCAAGTTTATATATAGTCACGGCCCCAAGTTTATATAAAGTCACGGACCCAAGTTTATATAAAGTCTCGGCCCCAAGTTTATATAAAGTCTCGGCCCCAAGTTTATATATAGTCTCGGCCCCAAGTTTATATATAGTCTCTGCCCTAAGTTTATATACAGCCTCGGCCCCAAGTTTATATACAGCCTCGGCCCCAAGTTTATGTATAGTCTCGGCCCCAAGTTTATATATAGTCTCGGCCCCAAGCTTATATATAGTCTCGGCCCCAAGTTTATATATAGTGTCGGCCCCAAGTTTATATAGAGTTTCGGCCCCAAGTTTATAAAAAGTCTCGGCCCCAAGTTTATATAGTCTCGGCCCCAAGTTTATAAAAAGTCTCGGCCCCAAGTTTATATAGTCTCAGCCCCAAGTTTATATAGTCTCAGCCCCAAGTTTATATATAGTCTCAGCCCCAAGTTTATATATAGTCTCGGCCCCAAGTTTATATATAGTCTCGGCCCCAAGTTTATATATATAGTCTCGGCCCCAAGTTTATATATAGTCTCGGCGACAAGTTTATATATAGCCTCGCCCCCAAGTTTATATATAGTCTCGGCCCCAAGTTTATATACAGTCTCGGCCCCAAGTTTATATACAGTCTCGGCCCCAAGTTTATATACAGTCTCGGCCCCAAGTTTATATATAGTCTCGGCCCCAAGTTTATATACAGTCTCGGCCCCAAGTTTATATATAGTCTCGGCCCCAATTTTATATACAGTCTCGGCCCCAAGTTTATATACAGTCTCGGCCCCAAGTTTATATATAGTCTCGGCCCTAAGTTTATATACAGTCTCGGCCCCAAGTTTATATACAGTCTCGGCCCCAAGTTTATATATAGTCTCTGCCCCAAGTTTATATCTAGTCTCGGCCCCAAGTTTATATATAGTCTCGGCCCCAAGTTTATATATAGTCTCTGCCCCAAGTTTATATCTAGTCTCGGCCCCAAGTTTATATATAGTCTCGGCCCCAAGTTTATTTTTGTCTCTGCCCCAAGTTTATATCTAGTCTCAGCCCCAAGTTTATATCTAGTCTCAGCCTAAAGACTAGATCTGGTCTCATCCCCAAGGTCTTATGTTCAAATCCTTGTCGCATTTTTTAAAGTGAAAAATAGAACTTAGCTCCTAGGTCGACTCAGCCTAAAATGGGTCCCAGAGAAAGTCCTTGGGAAGAAAAGGCAACCACATCACACATCACGGTGTCTATAAAAATAGTCTAGATTATATGCCTAATTCTTCAGTGGCGGGTAAAGGGTTCTTGACTTGATCAGACCTAGAGTAGGAGATAGGGCATGGAGAAGCAGAAACCTGAGGTTTTTTGGACACAAAAAGGTAAAGGTAAAAGGTAAAGTCGGGAGATGTGAACCAGCGTCATTGCACGCTGTTATAAACCATAGGTGCTATGCCACCAGTACAGACAGCTGATAAGAAACTGCCCGCCTGTGTCGCCGTCCACATGTAACTCCGTAGCTACAGCGACGTTCCTCCATTCACCCCATAGTGTCAACTCTGCTACCCATTTCCTAGAGGTTGGGTAAACCGCGGGAACCGCCCGGTTTCGAACACCGAGTCTCAGCTGGATTTGAAAGCGAGCCTCCTATCGACTGCGCTAACGCGGCTCCGATACGATACATAAGTAAGTAATGCTAGATCTCGATGCCCACTGAGTTTAAAATGTCTAGCAGTTCAGCTAGCAAATCTACTTTATCTAGAAAGGCAGCCACAAAGGTTTGTATCATGAGTTGTTAGTTGTAGTATTACGACATCGGATTTCAAAAATTACTGCTATCTACAAGGAAACGTCATCAAGTAAAGACAAATTTATTCTAGTCTGCATGTATCATCATCAGTTCTCGTTGTGCCTAGTGGCAATTGAGGCTTTAGAGAGGACTTTCCATGCTTTCCTGTCCTGTGCAATCTTCAGTGTAGTTTTCCATGTCAAAGATGCCGCACTCATGTCACTTTCCATCGTCGTCTCTATGTTGTTTTTGGGCGACCCTTTTTTTTTTCTCTTTCCCTCTGGTATCCATATGAGAGCTGTTTTAACAGGTATATCAGGATTTATTCTCATAAGGTTTCCAAGCCATTTCCATCTTCTCTTGGTTATCATACTGTCTAAAGTTTCTTGGTTTGTGGCTTGAAGTAGTTTAGTGTTTGAGATTGTATCTGGCCAGAACATTTTGATAATTCTACGTAGACATGTGTGGTGGAAGGTGGACAGCTTGTGTGCATCCTTTTTTTGGTAATTCTCCAGAAAACAACAAAATATTTCAGGATGCAGAATGGCCCTTATTCAATTTTTTTTTCAAAGTACGTGTCATGACGGTTTCGCAGTATGTGCATGCGAACCCCCCCCCCCCCTCCAGCCCCCCCCCCCCAATGGCTGCAGCACTGTTAACATGCGTAGTGGAGTTTTGTTACAGTATTACAACGCCTGCTCCAACAATCAGCATAGTCCTACAGCCCAGACTTGGCACCATCAGACTTTCATTTGTTTGGCCCATTGAAAGAACATTTGAGGGGTCAGAGATTTGCGGATGGCAATGAGGTGATGTCAGTGATGCAGACTTGGTTACTGGTCGCACCCAGAAGCTTTTACCTGGCTTGCATGCACAGTCCCGTAGATCCGTGGACTGCCTGTGTTGCCAGGAAGAGTCTGCTCGTAAAGATACTTATTAATGCAAATGCCTTTACTTTAAGACTTCCCCTCGTATGTTTTTTTTTCTGTCTTAGTTAACTGTCAGCTGATCCCAGAAAATATGTTGACAGTCTTTCACTTAGTCTTCTACCTTGGGGTGTAGAGGTTTTCCAGAGAGAACGTCAGACGTCTTTATCAGCAGTTTTCTTTCTGGCTTTGTTCCATTCCAGTCCTCTGTCGGATGTTGTCTTCCCAACGCACCCTAGGTTGCCCTGGAGGTCTGGTTCCCTGGTTCTTAGTCTCCCATGCTTGCCATGGTGGCCGATTTTCTCCTATTCTGCATACATGTCCAAACCATCGTAACTGTGACTGATCCACTCGGGTTTGTAAGTACTGGGTATCCAGATCTTGATGTATTGTCTGATTGCGGACTTTGTCCCTTCTTGTCACGTGGACCAACTTTCTCAGATATCTCATTTCTGAGGCCTAAAGCTGGCTTCTGTGAGCTGTTATCATTGCCCATGACTCACACCCATAGATCAGGACTGGTACATGGCTAGAGCGGTAAATAGCCATTTTCATTCTCTTGCCCATTTCTCTTTTGCTAAGAAACCCTCGGTTTATGGCGTGGAAGAGTCTCCCAGCAGCTGCTTTTTGTGTAGTCAGTTCAGTCTTAATGTCTCCGTTTCGGTCTAATACAACTCCAAGGTATTTGAACTGGTTAACCTGCTCCAGTGCATACTGTCCCATCATGATCTGGTGTTTCTTTTCCTCCCAGGAGATCACCATGGTTTTAGTTTTGGAGATACTGATACTCTCTTCTCAAGCTCTTCCTTCCAGACAAGTAAGTTGGACTGAAGGTGTGCCTCTGATTTAGCTATCAGGGCAAATCATCTGCAAATGCCAGCTCTGATATACAATTGGTCTCATCTTCCAGTACCCTACAAAGTACTTCTTTGTCTTCTCCTTACAGGTCTTGATTAAATCATCCATCATAAGAATGAATGTTGACAGTCAACAGACGTTAAGAAGTTGAAGAACACCCATGTAGCTGACCCATGCCGTTAAAACATATAGACAAACAAACTGGTTAAACAGTTTGCTACAAAAATAAGTATGTAAACAGGGCCTCGGCGGAAAAGAGGAGGCAGGCTATAAACTGCAGCAGTAAAAATATATTTCTAATCGTAACTTTTTTCTGGCGCACATATTTCAGCGCAATGTAAGCACAAACAATTGCTATCACCCTAATCACCTGCTTCATGCTGGCGCCACCTGTGATTGTCTCACGGACACACGTCTCGTCAACTAGGTCTGATAGAAGTCTCTGTGGTTGCGTATTTAAGTCACGGCTCCAGACAGACAGGTCCTCACATTCTTGTGTCAAGATTGTACGCTTGACTAAGGCAAGTACCAATCATTTGTTTGTTCTATAGCGGTCATCTTCTGTATGTAGTTCTCAATGGCACATTAGCTTTCAACTCGAGTCCATTCCAAAAGTCTTGACAAACTTCATAAATCTATAACCCAGTAACCATTTAGTGCAAGTTGTCTAAATGTGGAATGCAACCAATTAATAATCGTGTCCTTGCAATAAAAGACAGACAGACAGACAGACGGACAAATATATACAGACAGATATAGACAGACAGACAGATATAGACAGACAGACAGACAGACAGACAGACAGACAGACAGACAGACAGACAGACAGACAGACAGACAGACAGACAGACAGACAGACAGACAGACAGACAGACAGACAGACAGACAGACAGACGGACGGACGGACAGACGGACAGACGGATGGATGGATGGATAGATCGATAGATAGATCGATCGATAGATCGATAGATCGATAGATAGATAGATAGATAGATAGATAGATAGATAGATAGATAGATAGATAGATAGATAGATAGATAGATAGATAGATAGATAGATAGATAGATAGATAGATAGATAGATAGATAGATAGATAGATAGATAGATAGATAGATAGATAGATAGATAGATAGATAGATAGATAGATAGATAGATAGATAGATAGATAGATAGATAGATAGATAGATAGATAGATAGATAGATAGATAGATAGATATGTGGGGGGTTTGGATGGATCGATGGATCTATAAATGGATGTATAGATAGATTGACAGATTGATGGATGTGCAAGGATGGATGGTTGGATGAATGTCAGACTGGATTTTTGGATAAACGGATTGATGTATGTAAGATGGTTGGATGGATCGGTATATATAAATGTGAAAATAAGAAATCATGGGTCTCGTGATACGACGCTTCCCTCTTACTTTCAGCCATCAAACAAAGACAGTAAGGATGATTGTAACACAAAGTATCAGTCGAGCCCAAATGGAAAACTGGAAAGCATTCCATGTGGGCTGGTAAACATGTTAGCAATCCTTGGTCTTATGGTATGGTAACCCCGAGCCCTTTGTGTGGTTGCTGGACAGCCGGACAGCGACGACCAGGTGCCTATCCGGTCGTTCTTTCGTGGATGTGACTAGCTGAAATGTCGTGGCCTCAAACATGCACAATCCTAACAGGCCACACGCCAGCGTCACTTTTTGATTTCATGTTGATCTTAGTATTTGTGTTGCGGCGTCCGTGGCTTTGATGTTGCGAGTCCGACTAGTAATTCCAACGTACCGCCATCGAAACCCACTGCTGGCTGCATGGATTTTTATCATGGTATGGGGCGTCGCAGGTCGACCCAGCCTAAAGTGGGTACCAGAATGCATGTCCTGGCGAAGTAAAGACGGCCGGCATATTGCTGACTACATACCCATCTAGTGCCGATTAATCTGTACAAATATAGGTGCTCTTCAAATACGTCCGTTGCGCCTAAGGCGTGAAGAGGGATCTTTACCTCTTTATCAGTTATTGTCTTGCCTGCTGGGTTTTCACGTCCCAGTTTGTAATGCATTTAGTACTCCGTTGATAAAGACTTTGGTCGAAACATTAAGTTGTTTGTGCTTTCTATCCACGTTTTTTGTTGCATCTAGCACTTCAGATGGCAGTGACTAGTACATTTCTGGACGACCATTTCTGGACTTTTTCACGCCAGTGACATAAAGAACGAGACTCGTGTTTTGTTATAATCCAGTCAGCACTCGAGGGGTTCCGTGGTCACAATGAGGCCAGAGTCCTTTACTTCCCATGACACGTACTGGTTCTCATTCTAGCCCGAGTATAAATTATCACCGACAAGTTGTTATGTTTGGAAATATTTCTCGTCTGTACAGCTTCAGACAACAACCATGAATCCAGCTTTGACCTCCATCTGTCTGCTGGTCATCGCCCAACTGACCCGAGCAGACGATGTCCAGTTACTGACGTCTGCATCGTCAGGCTTCGCCCAGAAACTCTACAATAAACTGGCGGCCGTCAAACCAGCGTCTGCCATCTACTCACCGTTCAGGTACAGCCATGTAGTCTTAGATAGTTAGAGAACACGACACGACACACACACACACACACACACACACACACACACACACACACACACACACACACACACACACATCGTGATTGTAATTGACTCAGAAAGCATGCTGAGGAAGATCAAGACAGGCATACTTCGTGCAGAGTGGCATTCCTCGCTGCGGAGGACACGGGTGAGGAGTATTGTCTGAATTTTTTTAACTGGGACTCGGCGGTGTGTTGGGAAATGAACAGGCGGACAGACTGGCTGGCTCTGCACAAATTAGTGGAATACTGATGCATGATAAGGCAGACGTGGTTAGTGCCTTGTTGGAGAGCTTGTACAGTTCTGAGGAACAGATTGATCACCACAGTGTGGTGAGATTGATGCAGTTGGGGATGACGAGAGGTTCTAGCAGATGCTCGAGGCTCAGAGGAAAGGCAAGACGGACGTTTAATCAGAATGCTACTGGCACTATTAGTATCGGAACTTTTCGCTGGCTGCTGAATGTGGGGATGGAGCGCTTATGGGAATGCCCTGAGTGCTGTGATGTCGGTTCTTGAATCAAATCAAATCAAATCAGATACGAGCGATTTATCAGCTCTACAAGCTATGGCACAACGGCGGCTAATAATGTGCAGTAAAATATAGAGAACGCGGTTCTTTCTTGTGGCAACACACGGAAGCAGATCATGGACCATTTCGCACTCGCTAAAAATATAGTGAGATATTTGAACTTGAATGTTAAACAGCAAATCTTAGATTTGTTTAAAAAAAAAAAAGGGGGGGGGGGGAAATCGACATACTAGTAGTGTGAATAAAGAAGACGTTTAGCACAAGAACTGTCACACTTTGACACATTAAATATTGCAGTGGTTTGGGGGAAAAATACAATAATAGATGGCTTGATTCCTGGAAGTAGAGGCAGGGATATAAGAGGTATGGGTCTACAAGTATTAGGTGATGTGAGTAAAGTCACAGACCCCCTCCCACGCTTTGAAGTATGTAGGTATATGGTGCCAATCCAGCATTTTTTTTAGAATAGTCGGTCGGGGTGAGGCTCAATTTTACACTGACTGCGCTTGCTTCCCATAAAATTTTCTCATGACACATTGTAGGCTGTATGCATTAGTCAACTGAACAAAATGTTCGCCTTACGGTGGATCTGAACGCACGACAACCGCGCCGAACTGCAACCCTCTTGTGCATATGCGCTTCGACGTTGCAGAACCAACCCCAACAGCCCCTGTCTGTTGTGTGGTTTCTTTAGGCAAATTTACGTCCAGTAGTTTGTCATTGTTTCTGGACGGTCGGCCCCCTGATACCACTGTCGAAACCAACGCATGGCGCATGGCCCGCAGCTGGGATCGAACCCGGCATCCCGGCATTACGAAGCGTTCGCATCGACTTAGGTGGTTCCATTACTGCTCAATAATTTTAGATTTGTAGAACGGGTTTAAATCTTTCTTTATATTGACGAAATGATGACAGCACGCGTGTCTTTTGTGCAGCTTTGAGAAAGCTCTTCCCAACTGAAAGTCGCCGACAGTTGGCCGAATGTGCCACTGACCTGTGCTAAACATTAAAACACCATATTTACACCTTGCACCATTTTAGAGTCGGATCTGTGGCTAAGTCGATGCGAACGCTTCGTAATGCCGAGATGCCGGGTTCGGTCCCAGCTGCGGGCAATGGCAAACTACTGGGCGTAAATTGCCTAGAAAAACCACACAACAGCCAGGGGCTATTGCGATTGATTATGCAACGTCCTGTAACGGATACGCAATTATTGCTGCATAGCACTATTTCAGAATACACACATTTGCATCTCTTTAGTGCTGTAGTTGTTGCACGGTGATAAAAACTCCTTGTTTGATATACAGAAAGCATTTGAACTATAAGGCAGAATGATTCAAGATTCACAGATAAGGTTTCCGTTTTCTGTTAACTATTTCCTTCATCCCGCCAGCATCCACTCGGCCCTGTCGATGACCTCGCTCGGAGCTCGTGGCGAGACCGCTACTGAACTGTCAACGACACTGGGGCTAACGGCCCTGACCGGCAATTCGGTTCACCATGCCTACCATGACCTTATCAAGCAGGTAACCAGAGCTTGTTCAATCTCTACAGCGTGTTCCATCTCTGTCTCTAGTTCTCCGCGTGGCCCCTGTTTTAGGGGTGGAGTTGGGGTACCATGTCGGTCTCTAGTTCACTGTGTGACAGCTGCTTTAGGGGTGGAGTTGGTTGTTCCATATCTTTTCTAGTTCACCGTGGGGCAGCTGTTTTAGGGGTGGAGTTGGCTGTCCCATTTATGTTTCTAGTTCGTTGTGTGACAGCTGCTTTAGGGGTGGAGTTGGCTGTTCCATCTATGTCTCTAGTTCACTGTGTGACAGCTGCTTTAGGGGTGGAGTTGGTTGTTCCATCTATGTCTCTAGTTCACTGTGTGACAGCTGCTTTAGGGGTGGAGTTGGCTGTTCCATCTATGTCTCTCGTTCACTGTGTGACAGCTGCTGTAGAGGTGGAGTTGGCTGTTCCATCTATGTCTCTAGTTCACTGTGTGGCAGCTGCTTTAGGGGTGGAGTTGGGCTTCATGTCGGTCTCTAGCTCACTGTGTGGCAGCTGCTTTAGGGGTGGAGTTGGCTGTTCCATCTGTGTCTCTAGTTCACTGCGTACAGCTGCTTTAGAGGTGGAGTTGGGCTACCATGTCGGTCTCTAGTTCACTGTGTGACAGTTGCTTTAGGGGTGGAGTTGGCTGTTCCATCTAAGTAACTAGTTCACTGTGTGGCACTTGTTTTAGGGGTGGAGTTGTCTGTTCCATCTATGTCTCTAGTTCACCGTGTGGCAGCTGTTTTAGTGGCGGAGTTGGCTGTTCCATCTCGGCCTCTAGTTCACTGTGTGACATTGGCCTAATTTAGGGGTTTTATTGGATGTTCTGTGTCTCTACTTTACACGATTCTGTGTGGTGCTGATTTAGGGGTAGTGTAAAAGACAAGAGAGATTCATAGTAACAACTGGGGCATACTGGGTTATAGTTTGGTACACAGTAGGTGAGACCATCAGAAAGGACATTGTTCTGCTTCTTCTTTGTTCACAGGCTGTAAGCTCCAGCGCAATGTCCTGATCGCTCATCCACCTGGATTTTGGCATTGTGCCAGGGCCAGAGTTTTGCGTGTACATCCGTTTCACTGGCTTGTTTGTATGCCGTTGGTTGTTCCTTTTCGCTCGGTTAGATGCACTCCGACTTCAAAGATAGGACATTGTGATTTCAAGTACGAACTGGGACACTGCGGGCGTACAGTACCAACTGGGACACTCTGGGTTAGAGTAGCAACGGATACATTTTGGGTTCGAGCACCATCTAAGTCTTTGTGGGTTCGAGTGCTGAGTAGAATGCCAACTGGGACATAGTGGTCAGAGTGCAAATTGTGAAATAGTGGGTTAACGTACCACATGGGACAATTGTGGGATATGACAACAGCTCAAAGCTATGGAGCGGTCCTCTGAGGTATGTATTTTAACGGGCAGACATGCGTATCAAACATGTATATACTTACGTACGTATGGTGGAACATATGGACAACCACTCACACACACGCACACACACACATACATACACACAGCCAACACAAATTCATGTACATGTACTTTGTTTTAGGTCTATTCAAACGCAAAATTCCACACTTCCTTTTCAACCAATTCCTGAAAACATCTAGTTATGCTGCCTTAAAAACTCTTTTTTTTCAGCTGAACAATGTCACAGACGTGAAACTGCACACAGCCAACGCAGTCTTCGTCAACCCAAACATCGCCATAGAGGAACAGTTCATCAAAGATGTTAAGACTGAGTATTTAGCCACCAGCTCCAACTTTGACCTGGCCGCAGTGGGTGGCCCAGAGAAGGCCATCAACGATTTCGTCAGCGAAAAGACTGAGGGTTTGATCAAGGATGTTCTACCACAAGGTACCGATCTTTTTCGTACAATCCATATCTCCTGGCGTTGGTAGTCATGTCTATTCACAACCGTCTGTGTCATTCACTTTTAATCAGTTCTGACACTGAAGATCGTCTATGCCATGATGTCAAAGGGTCAAGCATCTTTTCTCTCTGTCTCCATCTGCCTTTTGACCCTAAAACTTGCTCATCACCATAATGTAATCTAGTTTTCTTCTTCTCATGAAATGACCAAAGAGTGTAGATTGTCGCCTTCTGATTTGGGCAATCAGTTCTCCATTGTCCCTTTCTAATTTAAGTATCCAGTGTGAAAGGTCAAACAAACAGCTAACAGCTCGCACACACGTAAGGTGCATAAAGAGCTGCCAGATAAACCAACATTAATAGTGTGTCACTGTAATTGCAGTTCGTCATTGACAGAAGCAGCAGTCACATCACACCAGCAGGTGTACAAACATTACTGCCTAAGGTACACCGCCAGTTCTGTGGAAACCAGTCACTCGCCCCTCACATGCCTGTAAAGTGTCGGCAGCGAGTTACGTATATTCTATCTGTTTTATTTATAAGTAGGCGTGTCTGTTTTGTTGAAACTAACCTAACACTCATCCATTTAGGATCCATCGACGCCTTGACCGCCATGGTTCTGCTCAACACCATCTTCTTCAACGGCACGTGGCTCGAGAAGTTCGACCAGTACAACACAAAAAAGTCAAACTTCCAGAAACTGGGCGGAGCCAAGTCTCAGGTATGGTGAATCGATTGATCAGTATCAATATTTGTGGATAAATACGGTTGTCGCACTAGTGGAACTTCGGTTCCCAGTTTTCTTAATTCCCTAGATAAGTTTATAGTTGGGAAACCCTTGAAACTATATAAACATTCTGATTTGATAAATTAAACAAGTCCTGAATGACATTCATAGTCAGAAGCAGAGATAGGACACGCTAGACAACATGAAAGTGATAACCTATATTTACCGCTCCAGGACTCTGTTGCTGTCTATGAGTTTACAATTATTATATTTATAATGCTTATCATACTGGATCAATGATCACCCTATCTGGTTGACGGGACCCATCGTTGGGAAAACAAGAATAGACCCACTGCCTACCCAAAAAAGGATGTCGTAAGAGTCGACTAATTGTAAGCGTTCTTCGAAGTGAGATTACATCTGCCCGAGCGGCCAGAAACAACCAGCTGTACACAAATAAGCTGGTAAAACCGATGTACACGTAAAGCTCAAGCCCTGGCACAAAGCCAAAGTCAAAATGAAAAAACAACCAGGGCTTTCCGCCGGAGCTAACAATTAAAAATGCAGTTCATCAAGGATGGTAGCAGAAGTCACCAAAAGATCAGCAGTTGCACACGCGATCAATTATAATCACATAATGGCACCACCAATATTATGACAACAGGCATGACGCCCTTTGCTGAATCTAAAATTCACACACCCACGTTGATCACAATCGAAAAACATTCCAAATGAAATGCGCAGCTCACAGTGTCACACCATGCACTCAAACTCAGAATCTGGGCGACTAAACTATATCCTTTCAGTCTACAAATGGAGCAAAAATGCAACGGCCACCGTCCGGCAAAAGCAAAAAAAAAAAATTGGCCACGGCTCAAAACAGTGGTCGTGCCTAGCGTCCATTTTGACCGGAACGTTTTCTATAGCATGCAGAAGAGGAGAATCGACCCTCCATGTGGAGGGACAGTTACAATTCTCTTCTGGCGTCATTTTACACTTATGGAGACGATGTTTACAACTGAGGGTGGGTGGGGATGTGGAAAATGTCGGTGGGGTCGGAAGAAAAAAAAGAAGAAGAAGGAGGGAAAAAGGAGTGTGCGGGGGGGGGGGGGGGGGTGATTGGCAGCCACAGTAATGAAGTACTAACAAAGTATGTAAATATTATAGGGAAGTTAACTAAATCCTGTTCCAGCGGAACTTCTTCTACTTCTACGCGTTCACCAGCTGTAAACTCTCTTCTGGTTGTTCGTCCTCTTCTGGACTGCAGTCCAGGTTCCAGAACCTGAGTGTTGCGTGTACATCCGTTTTACAGATCTGACTCATTTGTATGCAGACTGCTGGTTCCTTGCCTCTAAGGCAGATGCACTCCGACTTCGAAGGAAGCCCCTAATTAGTCGACTCTTACGACATGCTTTTTGGTCGGCAGTTGGTGTATTCTTGCTTTCCCTATAATAGGGTCCCTGAGCCCAAACGGGGAGTTCCAGGGGAACAAAATCAGACGATTAAAGTGGAGAAGATAGTTGTCGGTATACCGGATTATATCTCTTCCGGGTCGATCTCTCGCAATAGAGCTACTAGTCACATTTCAAGAACTTTAAACAAAGCCCTAACACCATAGTTCCAGCGACGAACCTCTATTGACATAAAAAAAACAGACCGCACCCTTAAAGAGTCCGTGAATTTGAGAAGGCGTGGCAAGAATAGTAACCTGCGGCCTCGTAAAACTGCCTTTATTTATTGATGAAACAATGTGTTGATATCGAGTTCAAGTCTAAGAATCAAACAATACCTGTGTCCTCTCCTATCCCCTGCTACAGGTAGACATGATGTATGCTGAAAGATCTGTCAACATCAAGAGAAACGTGCAGGGAGTTGACGTGGCCGAGTTACCCTTCAAGGGCGGACGATTCTCTCTCTACATCGCCCTGCCGCAGGAGACTGAGGGCCTTGCTACTCTAGGTAAGGTCCCTTTTAAATATTTGGCTCTGGTAGCTATCTCCTGCATGTTTGTTTGTTTGTATGTATCTGTGTATGTATGTATGTCTGTACGTATGTAATGTATGCATGCATGTATGTGTGTGTAAGTGAGTGGGTGAGCGTGTGAGCGTGTGTATTTAGGTGTATGTATGCACGCGCGGGTTTTTGCAGGCACTTTACAACTCATGCTTTTGTGTTCTTTTATAATATTCATAAAATGTATATCATCATATGATCATAACAGGCTTTATTAGTAAAATACAACTGCTGTGAGAAAGATGGTTGACTGGAAGGGCCGAATGTAAGACGGGCCTGCGTGCCCAATTTGTGAACCTTTGAAAAAAAAATTCGTTTGTTCGTTCGTTCGTTCGTTCGTTCTGTGGCTAAGTCGATGCGAACGCTTCGTAATGCCGGGGTGCCGGGTTCGATCCCAGCTGCGGGCCATACGCCTTGCGTTGGTTTCGACAGTAGTATCAGGGGGCCGACCGTCCAGTGGGCAATGACAAACTACTGGACGTACATTTGCCTAGAGAAGCCACACAACAGCCAGGAGCTGCTGGGGTTGGTTCTGCAACGTCCTGTGAAGGATACACAACTAACCAAAGTCATCTCTCCCTATTTTGTCTGGAGCCACTTTCAACTGCCCCGCTGTCACCAGAATCGCTTTGTTGGCATCTGGGGTTTTTTCTCCCTCTAACGTCAAATCAATTTCCCTGTACTTGGCGAAAACTAGTCAGAGGCTTATAACATTCCAAAAAACTGCCGCCTGTGGAAAACAGACAGAATGCAATGGTATGAAAGAATCATCAATGTGAAGCTCGTGTCATCATCATCATGTATCAGGTCCTTTGCAGAACTTCGCTCTCATCACAGTCTGCCTGAAAGAAACTCGGTCTCTCGCCAGTTCTGCCGCCTCATGTATTTTCATACTCAAGGAGTCACTTATATCCTGTGCCCATCTTCGTGTCGGTCGGCCCCTGCCCCGCCTTCCAGGTACCATGCTTTCTGCTATAATTTTTTTCCAATCCGTCGTGGCGCTTGATGTGACCAAAATTTTTCAGCTTACGAGAACTCGTGTAGAGAACGAAATACATTTCCGTGAGACAAACGTTCAGCAAATGACTGGGATAGAAGATGCGTGGAGAAAACTCGGCAACTGGAATCTCCGTGTAAGTTCCCAGGTCCCTGTGGATAGAAGATGCGTGGAGAAAACTCGGCAACTGGAATCTCTTTGTAAGTTCCCGGGTCCCTGTGGATAGAAGATGCGTGGAGAAAACTCGACAACTGGAATCTATGTGTAAGTTCCCGGGTCCCTGGGAATAGAAGATGCGTGGAGAAAACTGGACAACTGGAATCTATGTGTAAGTTCCCGGGTCCCTGGTGATAGAAGATGCGTGGAGAAAACTGGACAATTGAAATCTCTGTGTAAGTTGCCGGGTCCCTGGGGATAGAAGATGCTTGGAGAAAACTGGACAATTGAAATCTCCGTGTAAGTTCCTGAGTCCCTGGGGATAGAAGATTCGTGGAGAAAACTGGACAATTGAAATCTCTGTGTGAGTTCCCGGGTCCCTGGGGATAGAAGATGCTTGGAGAAAACTGGACAACTGAAATCCATGTGTGAGTTCCTGGGTCAAATTTTGGGGGAAACAAAAAATAGAACAACTGCGTCTCAACAATAATATCGTAAAAGGTGACTAACGAATGATTTTCTTAAATCAAATGTACTGGGCCTAACCGTCAACTACACACAACAAGGTGCCAACTGGCCATTTCTTGGTTAACACAGAAGAAGTAAAACAAAAACTTGTCACTGGAGCACACAGGACAAACAGCCAGAGGAAGACCTGGGAAAGTACAGAGGAGAAAACCAGAGATGGCGACAGAAATGTGTTAAGGACAAGATGGGAGCTGCAGATGGCAAGACAGGACAGTGTGGTGTGAGCTGGTTCAGGCTAGATGCTGTCATTGAAAGAATAGTGGCAGTAACAGAACGACTGTCTGCGCCAACAGACGGGGAGACAACAGCAGAACATCTCCAATAATAACCACGACTTGAGAATCAGAGAAATACATTGTCGGTTAAATCTGTCGACTCGCATTGTAGATTAGATTGTGACATTACTGTCCGAGATCTGTGTCGAGGTCAGTGTAGCCACTAGAAAGAGTTGCTGGTTCTATTACGTGGCACAGCACAATCTGAGATCATGCGGACTGAGTGGCAGATAAGATAGACTGACAAGTGAAATAATGTGTTATGTCATGCAGTTTCCCCGAGCAATTTGTTATAGTTAAGTCGATGTGAACGCTTCGTAATGCCGGGATGCCGGGTTCGATCCCAGCTGCGGGTCATGCGCCTTGCGTTGATTTCCACAGTGGTATCAAGAAAGCCGACCGTCCAGAAGTAATGACAAACTACTGGACGTAAATTTGCCTTTAAAAAACCACACAACAGCCAGGGGCTGTTAGGGTTGGTTCTGCAACGTCCTGTAAAGGATCTGCAACTAACCATTTCGTTTGTAAAGTATCCTTATGTATGCTTTACACACAAGCAGAATCTTGCTTTAAACTATAAGTTATTTGAAACTGGCCCGACTTTCTTCCTTTACATGTTACTATAAGTGTCTTCCATACATAGTTTGGTCATTATAATTAACTTCTTTGGTATTCCAAAGTTCTTCATAGCATTCCATAAACTTTTTCTATGTACACATTATGTACATCTTTTCTATTTCCCAGTTAGCTCTGCTAATTGCCGTAAAATAAATATCTGATCTATTGTTAATCTGTTCTGTCGGAAACCCGCTTCATTTCAGTTTGTACATAAGTTTTGTTTGTATGTTATATTGTAAAACACACATAGCAGATATCTTTTCCCAATATGTTTTGTTTAAACCAGATGTTATATTGAAAAGAGCTCCGACTTACTATACGTTCGGTTTTATATCTTTTTACTATATGTTTTGTTTGTATTTGTTATATTGGTCATGGTACTATCGTTCGGTTCTATGGTTTTCCAATAGTTTTTTGTATTTGTTATTCCATGAAACTTGCTTATATGTATACGTTATGTTTTACATCTTTTCCCAATATTTTTTGTTTGTATTTGTTATTTAGCTCTGCTTATAACTTGCCGTTAAATAAAATCCCAATATGTTTTGTATTGTATTTGTTATATTGTGAAACTTGCTTATATACCCGCTTGGTTTCGGTCCCAGTATGTCTTCCTAATATGTTTTGTTTGTATTTGTTATATTGTAAAACTTGCTTATATACTATACGTTCGGTTTTATATCTTTTCCCAATATGTTTTGTTTGTATTTGTTATATTGTGAAACATGCTTATATACTATACGTTCGGTTTTATATCTTTTCCCAATATGTTTTGTTTGTATTTGTTATATTGTGAAACTTGCTTATATACTATACGTTCGGTTTTATATCTTTTCCCAATATGTTTTGTTTGTATTTGTTATATTGTGAAACTTGCTTATATACGTTACGTTCGGTTTTATATCTTTTCCCAATATGTTTTGTTTGTATTTGTTATATTGTGAAACTTGCTTATATACGTTACGTTCGGTTTTATATCTTTTCCCAATATGTTTTGTTTGTATTTGTTATATTGTGAAACTTGCTTATATACTATACGTTCGGTTTTATATCTTTTCCCACTATGTTTTGTTTGTATTTGTTATATTGTGAAACTTGCTTATATACTATACGTTCGGTTTTATATCTTTTCCCAATATGTCTTCGACGTATGGGTTTAGGCTGTTTAGCAGTATCACCGATGGTATCATCTACCTTGTGGATAATAATGATATTTCTCTACATTTCTACACGTTACGTTTATACTTGTCCTTTGTATTTCTTATATTGTGAAAAATGGTTATTAACGGGACACTTTTCCACTCATGTTTTGTTTGTATTTGTTTTATCCGTCTTCCAAACGTTACGTTAGTTTTTATCTAACCAATATATTTGTTTGAATGTAATGCATGACCATCTTTTTTTTAAAAGTTTAGCAGCTGGCTCAAGTCTACAGTAAATAGATCAAGACAGTAAAACCTCGACAACATGAATTCAAATAAGAAGAACACTCAGTTAACATAAACAAAATGTTGGTCACAGCAGGGATAATTATTGTTATCACTGCCCGGTTAGCAGGAACTGTTAACTGAACTTGATGTTGAGCAGTTTGGAATTTGTGTTAAGAAACTCTGTTGTATTCAACTGACTATATTTAACATGAACAACAACTCTGCAACACTGCCTGGAATTGAAACATGGAGAAGCATACGTTACGTTAATGGTTTTAACTTTTCCCAATAGTTTGTTTCATTATACTGTGCGCCTGCCCATAACTATAGGGGAGTTTATATCTTTGTCCAGAATAGTTTTGGGAGTAAATGGTATGTCAGAATAGAGGGGAGTAACGTTCGGTATGTCGGAATATGAGGGGAGTGAAATGGTATGTCGTTACGTTCGGTTTTTATAGGGAGTCCCAAATGTTGGTTATGTCAGTTATAGAGGGGAGTAAATGGTATGTCAGAATAGAGGGGAGTAAATGGTATGTCAGAATAGAGGGGAGTAAATGGTATGTCAGAATAGAGGTATTTGTTAAATGGTAAGTCAGAATATAGCGGGGAGTAAATGGTGTCTTCAGAATGGTTTAGGGGGAGTACCACCGATGGTATCATCTACCTTGTGGATAATAATGATATTTCTCTACATTTCCACATTTATACTTGTCTCCTTTCTTAAAAATGGTTATTAACGGACACGTTCCACTCACGGGGTCATTTCTCCGTCTTCCAAACTAGTTTTAGGACTAATATCTTGCAATGTAATGTATAAACCTTTTAGAGGGGAGTTAACAGCTTGCTCGTCTACAGTAAATAAATCAAGACAGTAAAACCTCGACAACATGAATTCAAATAAGAAGAACACTCAGTTAACATTAACAAAATGTTGGTCACAGCAGGGATAATTATTGTTATCACTCTCCGGTTAGCAGGGGAGTTAACTGGTATGTTGTCAGAATGGAATTTTGTGTTAACGAAAATGGTATGTCACTGAAGTATTTATCATGAACAACAACTCCGTAACACTGCCTGGAATTGAAACATGGAGAAGCACTCAAGACATTAATGGCAACTACAAGTTTTCATTAACTGGCGCCTGCCCAGAATAGAGGGGAGTAAATGGTATGTCAGAATTACCAATGTTGAGCTTTGGGAGAAAACTAAAGCACAATCAAAAACATTAAACATGTTAGGAAAGATCAGGGCGCTACTATGTCTGGTAGTATAGATGTTGCTCTTCCTCCCTGTTATCCTGCTTCTACTTCTAGTACTACTACCGCTACAGCAACAACTACTATTACTACTACCATTACTAATACTACAACTACTACATCTTCCACGACATCCATTGCTATATTTATCACATGAAAACATTCCCTGTCACAGAAAACTTCCTGAACAGCCCGAGTTACCTGACCGAACTGTTTGAAGGACTGAGCCGTGTCCGAGTCAGATTGAGTGTCCCTAAGTTTAGGATCGAGTCGACCTTTGAGCTCAACTCCGCTCTCAAGGAACTAGGCATTCGTAAGGCCTTTGATCAATCGTCTGCCAACTTCCAGGGAATCAGCGCAACTGGTTAGTTTATTTAATTTTTGTTCTGAAAGAGAGAGAGAGAGAGAGAGAGAGAGAGAGAGAGAGAGAGAGAGAGAGAGAGAGAGAGAGAGAGAGAGAGAGAGAGAGAGAGAGAGAGAGAGAAAGAGAGAGAGAGAGAGAGAGAGAGAGAGAGAGAGAGAGAGAGAGGGGGAGCTGGAGTTGTTTGCATCACTTCATATGTCCTGGCGTAGAATTTCTAGGCGCTCAACTATTCCTAGTTCACTGGCTGTATTCGTTCTTTTTATTCTTCTTCTTGGTTCACCTCGTAAAATTGGGTTTTATTTTTTTTATTTACAGCTAGGCATCGATATCTGCACTGTTCAACCCAACACACCAACTTTCACCGAACCCTTAATTATTCTTATTATAAGACATGCTAATGAAGAGGGGGGGGGGCAGTAGGTCTACCACATCCTTCCCCATAGGTCTCGAGGATTCACGCGCAGACAACAGCAGTATTTGAAAGTGAGATAATCTTTTCTTCCTCTTGTGGTTGTCACCGGGGAATGTCAGAAAATGCACCCCAAACGGAAATGGGATTTCTCCGTGGTTGATGTTTGATGATTCTGTCTCCTTGGGTATCTATTGTTAGCTCAAATGTAGTTTATGTCCACGTTTCCCCAACAAGCTGTCCATAAACAGGCGGCGCCTGAAAGCCCGCGAGCAGAGGGTTATAGGTACAGATCAATATGATGAGATATGCAGGACAGTTTTTTTGGTTTAAAGGGAGTTGGGAAAGGAGGGTGGCGGGAGGTGGGGGAGCATGGGGTGGGGTGGGGGGGTGAGTTGGTTTAGAGACTATGTTTGTTTCATGACGATGAAAGAAAGAAAAAGAAATTACTAGGAGAAGGACACACACACACACACACCTATTGATAGACAGAAAGAGAGAGAGAGATATATATATATATATATATAGAGAGAGAGAGAGAGAGAAAGAGAGAGAGAGCACAGCAGACACACATAATACCAAACACAAAAAAGAACTGACTTGACTTACCTGACTCCTGCCGAATGACTCCCCATCAAATGTGTTCTGTCTTACAGTCAAGATCTTCTACTTGTCTCCTCTTACTGCCACCCACAACCTCCAAGCTATGTAGTTTCCAGAAATCCACCTGTTGACTAGATCAAACCTACTCTCCTCTCCCTCCAGAAGGTTGTTTAAACTAGGATGACTCTTCTGGGACCAGAACGAAGCCGAACCTCTTGGCAGATGAAGGTAATCGTCTCCAGAAGATGTACCTTGGGATTTGGGAATTTGTAAAGGCCGTGGTGGGTACAGGAGAAGTTGTAGGTTATTTTTGGGGATTAGTCTAACGGCGAGCTGATGTCACCAGGGGCTTTGATTTTCTGCTCACTGAATGGTAGGTCGTGTTGACTGATCGTGTCGTCACTGCTTTGGCGATATGTTTCAGCTTCAGAATAGGAGACATTTTCCATTGATGTTGCCCAATGCTGGTCTAAAGAACGTGCTGGTTTTCTTAATCAGAGTCAGGGTTGCACGGTGTAAGGCCATGATTGGGTGAGATTCTGACTCGGTTCTGTGAAATTGAGACCATTCGATGACAACAGTTGTTGGTTCATCGTGAGTGATCGAGCGGCTAGCTGTATGCCCAGAGCGTCCCACAAAGGACAAACTCCTCAGCTGGAACAATAACCCGCAGAAAGCTCCTACAGATAACCGGTGATTCAAAAAACGTATTTTGAAAAACGTTGGACAGGTCACCAACTACAGTTATGTTCATGCTCCCGTCCAAACAGGCAACTTGTACATCAACAAGGTGGTCCACAAGGCCGTGATTGAGGTGAAGGAGACAGGAACTGTAGCTGCAGCAGCAACAGCGATCGGACTGCACCCATTGGTGGTCTTCCAGCCACCGACTGAAGTCTTCACAGCCGATCATCCGTTTATTCATTTCATTAGAGACAAGCAGACGGGCGCCATCTTGTTCCAAGGAAAGTTCACAGGGTGAAGTCACGTGATAGCCAGGACAAGAATGACAATAAAGTGATCTCTTAACCCCCGTACTGTCTCCTTGATCCATTTTCTCGTATATGCCATGGCGATAATGTGGCCTGGGAGAATGATGACTGGGTTCGATCCCCGCTAGTTGGATCCTCAACTCAACCCAGTCTCTTAAAAATGTTCAAGTAAAAGTACCTCTTCCAATCGCTATATGAGTTGGTTAACTGAGATAGTCGACATAACCACAACAATAATCTTAGTCTGTAGCGTCGAAACTGCGACTCGACCACAATCACCGTCACGGCACATGATGATCATGTTATCAATGTCTCCCAGGTAACCTTTATATCAGCGAGGTCATCCACAAGGCCGTTATCGAGGTCCAGGAGACCGGAACTGTGGCGGCAGCCGTGACGGCCATCGGCGTGCATGCCAACGTCATCATGCAGCCTCCGGAGGAGATGTTCAAGGCTGACCACCCGTTCGTCTTCTTCCTGAGAGACAACCACAGCCAGAACATCCTCTTCCAAGGAAAATTCTCGGGCTAAGCTCACTTCTCTTGTTCTCTCGGATAAATAAAACTCATGCATTAAAACCCTCGTCACCCTCGTTTACAGTTGTTTCGTTAAGTACCGACATTACAACATTCTGAGAGTTGGCAGAAGAGCTCCGTCCCCATCTTCAGCAGCCAGCGCAGTTAAAACATCAATGGAACCCTAGTGCAGTCGAGTGATATGCCGTCTTACCTTTCTTCAAAGTGTTGAATGTCGGCCAGATTCTCTGGGCACTCCTCTTTGCATCGCTCTCTCCAAACCCGTGATGGTCTATTTGTTCTTCGTCAAGGTTCTCTGCTCCCAAAGGGGCTTGATCACATCGACATTGGCAGGTATCAATTCATCACCCAGTGGTGCAGAACTAGTCAGTCCAGTCTGCCTGTTCATTTTCCAACACATCGTCGTGCATGCAACAAACATTCAATCGTGTCCCTCTTAGCACATTTAATAAGTAGCTAAACCTTCCCTTACCAGGGTTCACTCCATTCCTGTTGTGTAGACGTGACAGTGGCATGAATTGTGTAGACGTGACAGTGGCATGAATTGTGTAGACGTGACAGTGGCATGAATTGTGTAGCCGTGACAGTGGCATGAATTGTGTAGCCGTGACAGTGGCATGAGAGTGATCATGATGATCCAGAAATGAGGTGGTCACTTTCCTCCCTGACCTTTCATTTCATTGGACACTTCTGAAAATGATCCGCTAACCATTTGATGAAGACCTCTGACCCGCAGCTCTGCTCCATTCATTCATTCATTGTCCTGTTGGGCCATTCCCCCGCAGCTCTACTCCATTCATTCATTCATTCATTCATTATTTTGTTAGGCCATTATCTATCACAGATGGATCACATTATATTCCCCCATTCCGTTCTGTCCCGTGAAATCAGTTCAATATCACTGATCGAATCCGGTCCGGAACCTTTAGTTTCTCTTATCAACGTTCGTTTTATAGTTTCTTTTAAGTGTTTCCTTGCTTCCCCAATCTCTTATTTGCCGTATCACTGCCTGACTGAGGATTCTCTCTCGTTTCTCCTCAGGGTGTGTCCTATATAGCGGCCCTCTTCTTCGTCTTATACCTGTTGATGCTGGTGGTTGCCCAGACATGTCTCCTATCTCCTCGCCCATCTTGAATTCATCCCATTGTATGCCCAACATTCTCCTCAGGCATCTCTGTTCAAATACATGTAATCTTCGCTCCATGTCTGTAGTGGTTCTCCAACGTACGTTTCACTGACAAGGGGAAACAACACGTTGTCTTTATACTGTGCGCTGAACTCGGATCCCTTGTTCCGCAGGTCGTCGCTGATGTTCGTGCTTCGTGCGACACTCTTGGCGCACAGAGGTCGAATCATACGGGATCTAGCCAGATGCCATGAAGTCGATCATCTTAGCCGGTATTCAACCAAGGGGGTCTCATGGGCTAAAATTTTGAAAATGGGGGTCGGCGCGGGCCACAGGCTCAAGCCCCAATATGAAAATATGAATACAATACAACTGTGAATGATTCGCGAGCCAGTTGGTAGGTCTCTGTGGGCCACAAGTCGATAAGAGACTCGCTTTCAAATCCAGCAGCGACTTGCTGCAGCCCACGGCCGGTGTTCGAAACCGGGCGGCTTCCGTGGTTCACCCAGCCTCTAGGAAATGGGTACTAGAGTGATACTCTGGGGTAAATGGAGGCACGTCGCTGTAGCTACAGAGTTACATGCGAACGGCGACACAAGCGGACAGTTCATATCAGCTGTCCGTACTGGTGGCAGAGCACTTATGGTTTATAACCGTGTGCAATGACGCTGGTTCACATATTCCGACTTTACCTTTACGTACCGCCATTTAAATACAAGCCCTGATCTAAGCTTCTATCTTTGATAAAGAAGTACGGTATATTAACATATGCCCCATTAGATTAACAATAGCCATCTAGTCCCATGTTCATCTGGTCGCTTACAGTTCATTGAGTAATGGAAACTTTTGAAAAATCAGATTGCAGACGTTTCATATACGTTTCACTCTCAGTGTTAGCCTTCTGTAAATTAGATGAGCGCGGTTTTTCATTGTGTTCGGGGTAAGCTAACAAAATAATCACTACACAATCCTGCACATGTGATTTGATTTGCAAACAGATTACTTGTGCGTCCATGTACCCGCAGGTAACGTTTACATCAGCGAGGTCATCCACAAGGCCGTTATAGAAGTCAAGGAGACCGGGACAGTGGCGGCAGCCGTGACAGTCATCGGGATCAAGACAGCATCCATTGAATTACCCCCAGAAGAGGAGTTCAACGCCGACCACCCGTTCGTGTTCTTCCTACGAGACAACCAGAGCGAGGAGATTTTGTTCCAGGGAAAATACTTGGGATAAACTCCACGTCTGGCAGCTTGTCTTTCTCTTCGAGATAAATAAACTAGAAGCATGAAAGTACTTCTCTCTGAGTGTTCTTTCATGTTGTCATTTGCTTAGGTTCAATTCTCGACAAACTACGATATCTGCGTCATACCCTAGGGTTCCCTTGGTAAAAGACAACAGAAACAAAGATTGCATCAAAGAGACAAAAAAGTTTAAAACCTGAACTCACAATAAAAGACAACGGCGACTTTCAACTGAACCGCAACCGCTGCTTCGCCATGCACACCTGCCATGGTGCGTTTCAAAACTTGTGTCCTGACACTTTAACTAAAATATCGGAAACTCCCGTACAAATCACAACGAAGTTGTCACGAGGCCTTATATTCCCATCATCTTACGATTTTATAACTGACAATTGCGCAGGTGTTACTGTTTTCTTTAAAGCGTTGAATTTTTCTGATCTTTTGTTTTATTAATAATCTGTGTAGTCTGTTTGCAAATCAAATCACTCGTGCAGCGATGTGTGGTGATTACTTTGTTAGCCTATCCCGAGCACAATGAAAAACCCTGTTCATCTAATTTACGGAAGGCTAATACTGAAGATGACTACATGAGAGTGAAACGTCTATGACACGCGTGCAATCGGATGTTTTCAAACGTTCCCATTATTCAATTAACCGTAAGCATGCTGACTGCTTGCTACGAATCAATACCTTTAAAGTATATATATATATATATATATATATATATATATATATAATATATATAATATATATATATAAAAGCACAATGAAAACGAGATGTTTCTTTAAATATTCAACAGAAATTCTAGGAACATAATTAACAACAGGCTGCATGTCACATTTTTATATTTAAACCAAATGGTTATTGATTTACAGACTTTTACAGTTAAATAAAACTTCTGGGATGTACTATAACAGTATTTCGCATATGATTCAAGTTAGTTCCCAGGCCATGTTTGATGTGGTCACCTGATGTCCGTCCATGTGCCCGCAGGTAACCTGTACATCAGCGAGGTCATCCACAAGGCCGTTATCGAGGTCAAAGAGACAGGGACCGTGGCATCAGCCGTGACAGTCATACTGGTCGAAGCGGAGGCGTCCGTACAGTCACCTTCACAGATGTTCAAGGCCGACCACCCGTTCGTCTTCTTCCTGCGAGACAACAAGAGCCAGGAGATTCTCTTCCAGGGAAAATACTTGGGATAAACTCCACACCTGGCAGCTTGCCTTTCTCTAAGAGTCGAATAAACTGAAAGCATAATAGTGCTTTTTTTCTCTCTGAGTATTGTCGTTTGCTGTTAATTCTAATTCTCAACAAAGTACGATTCTATGTCGACCTTCGGCCCCTGCTTTGCTTGCTTGTTTGTTGTGCCCCATCAGGACATTACACAATCGATAAACACCCGCTGACACAAAGTGACACCATGCGGATGAGGATCATGCGGATGAGGATCACCCGAGGAGAGGTCCCAGAAACTCCTTTCAGACGTTATGGTCACATTTGTGGCCCAGCTATATTCAGGGCCCCAGGAAAAAGCCAGTGTGGGGTTTTAAATAGCTAAAAATTGCATCCTACATGGGGATGACTTGTAACCCCTGCTTTTGGAAGAAAACAACAACAATTGTTTAAGCAAGGAGACATAAAACGATGGAAACGATTTCTACAATGACCAACAGCTGAACCGGGTCTGCAGCTTTGAGACGTAAGCGTGCTAACAATACTTCCCATATGACTAAAGCCTCTCACCTAAGCCACGTCTGATCTGCTCACCTGGTGTCCATGTCCCTGCAAGTAATTTGTTCATCAGTGAGGTCATCCACAAGGCCATAGTCGGGGTCATGGAGAGCGGGACAGTGGCTTCTGCTGTGACTACCATAGAGGTTGAGATGGACACAACTCCTGAAGAGATGTTCAAGGCAGATCATCCGTTTGTCTTCTTCCTGCGGGACAACCACAGCCAGCAGATTCTCTTCCAGGGAAAATTCTCGGGATAAACCTACGCATTTTCTTTCTCTTCAGGGTGAATAAACAAACAAAGAGTGTGTAAGGTAGGCTTTCTGTAATTCTTTAGTTTGATCGATGTTGCTGACAGTACATGCTGAAGCTATCACAACATCGAGGTGACACCAACAGCGGGTCGGCCAGCAATATCACAACATCAAGGTGACACCAACAGCAGGTTAGCCAACTATATTACAACATCGAGGTGACATCAACAGCAGGTCAGCCAACAATATCACAACATCGAGGTGACACCAACAGCAGGTCAGCCAACAATATCACAACATCGAGGTGACACCAACAGCAGGTCAGCCAACAATATCACAACATCGAGGTGACACCAACAGCAGGTCAGCCAACAATATCACAACATCGAGGTGACACCAACAGCAGGTCAGCCAACAATATCACAACATCGAGGTGACACCAACAGCAGGTCAGCCAGCAACATCACAACATCGAGGTGATACCAACAGCTGGTCAGCCAACAACATCACAACATCGAGGTGACAACAACAGCTGGTCAGCCAACAACATCACAACATCGAGGTGACACCAACAGGAGGTCAGCCAACCACATCACAACGTCGAGGTGACACCAACAGCAGGTCAGCCAACAACATCACAACATCGAGGTGACACCAACAGCAGGTCAGCCAACAATATCACGCACAAACACAAAATGACTAATCCAAAACAGCACAATCGTAGAAGAAACTTGCCACAACACAAAAGTCTCACCAACATATAAGAGAAGACACACACACACACACACGCACACAGTCACCCACGCAAACATACGCACACAGACATACATGCAGACGCATAAACTGACACAAACAGAGACACGTAGACATTATATAATAGAAACACCGATAGAGACACACATAGATACATTCAAAGCCACATACACAGACACTCACAGCCACAGATAGACACAGATACACACACAGCCACGCACAGACACATAATGGCACACACACACACACACACACATAATACATACAAATACACTCACAGACGCACAAACACTCACACAGACCAACACCCGCAGACGCACATACATCATCAAAAAGACACACACAGATACCCACGAAGCCACACACACAAAGACACACGCAGACATTATATAATATACACACCCATAGAGACACACAGATACTCACAAAGCCACACACACAGACACCCACAGCCCCAGACAGACACAGATACACATGCAGCCACGCACACAGACACACCTACAGAATATAATGGCACACACACAGAGACTGACACACATAGACACACACAGAGACATATACACATACTAACACACCCACAGACGCACAAATACTCACACACGCAGACGCACACACACACACAGACACATATTATCAAAAAGACGAACACAAAAATACACACGAAGCAACACACAGAAAACACAGCCACAGACACATGCAGGCATAGACACACAGCCACAGACACATGCAGGCATAGACACACAGCCACAGACACATGCAGGCATAGACACACAGCCACAGACACATGCAGGCATAGACACACAGCCACAGACACATGCAGGCATAGACACACAGCCACAGACACATGCAGGCATAGACACACAGCCACAGACACATGCAGGCATAGACACACAGCCACAGACAGGCATAGACACACAGCCACAGACACATGCAGGCATAGACACACAGCCACAGACACATGCAGGCATAGACACACAGCCACAGACACATGCAGGCATAGACACACAGCCACAGACACATGCAGGCATAGACACACAGACACAGACACATGCAGGCATAGACACACAGACACATGCAGGCATAGACACACAGCCACAGACACATGCAGGCATAGCAGCCACAGACACATGCAGGCATAGACACACAGCCACAGACACATGCAGGCATAGACACACAGCCACAGACACGTGCAGGCATAGACACACAGCCACAGACACATGCAGGCATAGACACACAGACACACCCGGTTTAGGCAAATGTAATAAACTTAGTCGCTTGCTATTCTTAGGATTAAATTGAATCAATCGGTCAATGTAATTTGGAGTATCTTTAGATAAGATTTTGTGAATGAATTTGGTCTTATTAAAATTTAAACGTTTACTAAATGGCAGAAATCTTAGATGTCCGTATTAAAATTTTTTCTCACGTAGTTTCTATCGGAAACTAGGCGTAAGGCCCTATTTTGTAGAGAAAAGCCGTTTGACATTAGATTTGGAGCAGCCATCCCAAATTGTGGAACAATAGTCAACATGCGTTTCAATGTAGGATACGTAAAATATTCTAATTGTAATTTTGTCCAGAAAGTGCTAAATTTTTCCAAGTTGATATACTTTTTGTGCTACTTTTTTAGTCATGGCATTAACATGGGAACTCCAGGTTAGATGGCTGTCAATTAAAACGCATAATGTTTTGTGTTCAACTACATTAACAATAGGTAGCTTGTCAATGGAGAGCTCAAGGGGTAGCTTGTGTACAGCTAATGTTTGTAGCTTTTGCCTAGTTGTTTTCACCATGATTTAGTTTTATTAATGTTAATTTGCATGATATTATCATTACTCCATTTAATAAGTTTATCTATTTCTTTCTGTAAAGAACGTTCTAAATCATTACAATTGTCATGACCAGTATATACTGTACAGTCATCACCAGTAGACATGCATGGCATTTCTAAGGTTGTCATCACACTCGGAAGGTACTGCAGGGATCAAATTCCCGCGGCGGTAGACACAGAAGTAAGGGAACTGATAGATCAGCATTCAGACCCAGAAGATACCATCATCTACACAGATGGATCTGTGAAGCGCGGATCAAGGTCAGCATGGGCATACACAGCGCAAAGAAAGGGGAAAACAACACATGAGGACAGCGGCGCTTACCAGACAACCACGTCAAGCATGACAATGGAAATAGCCGCTGCTTCTAGAGCTTTAGCATGGGTATCCGAGCAAACCGCCACACAGGTAGTAATTGTCTCAGACTCAATGAATATGCTTCAGAAGATAGCAACAGGCAGTATGCGCTCTGAATGGATAGAAAGCATCAGGAAATCGCACTTAACCTCCGTAACCTGGATCTACACACCGGGTCATGCGGGCGTGAAGGGAAATGAGCGAGCAGACCAACTGGCAAGCACTGCACTAATGATTGCAGGAAAAAGTATGGACAGAGCAGACATAGTCAACGCTGTACGAACCGGGCTAGTGGAGAATGAGGAATCCCTGACACTAACACGATTGCGTGACATGGGAGTTAAGCATGGTGATGCACGTCTTTGCCGTCTTCGAGGCCGAGAAAGGAGACAATATAACCAGCTTCTCATGGGGACAATTAGTAGAAGTACTTTAGAGTGGCTGCTGCTTCGGAGAACTGAGCACGCATGGGTATGCCCAATGTGCAGTGACATTAATTGTGATAACAGAACATAAAATAACATCTTAGTAGGGAGTCGGCAGTTCGAAACCCAAGTTCAAGGTGTCTCCTTCGTGCCAAAGAACTGCATGGCTGTTGGGTGAACAGTCGTTAACGAGGGCAGGCAGGTCGTTGTAGGGGCGACGCCTGCTGGTGGATGTAATGTCCTAAGTCCCTTCCCCAGCTAATAATGAGGGTACTGCTGGGGTGACCGTTTATTAACCCTCATATAATTCTTCCGGTCAAAATGGACGCTAGGTACGGCCACCTTTTTTTTTTTTTTTTTTTAAAGCCGTGGCAAATATTTTTCTAGACGGTGGCCGTTGCATTTGTGCTCCATTTGTAGACTGGAAGGATGTAGTTTCGTCGCCCAGCTTCTGAGTTGAGTGCATGGCGTGACACTGTGAGCTGCGTTTGTTTTTCGTTGGCACAGGAGCGGAGCATGTGTGGGGTGACCCGTTTGCTATGAAGCTGAAACTAGGATTACCAGATTACCAGATTACCAGTACAGTCATCAGCAAACAAATTACATGTTATACTGAGATGTAACGGAAGGTCATTAATATAAGTAGCAAACAGTAGTCACACTCAACAGGCGATGTAGAGAAGAGAATCCTGTTGCTGTTAATGCAGAGGTCAACGCTCTCATCTGTGAAAATTCAGACGAAGCAGATGCAATAATCTATACAGACGGATCCGTTATACGCCAAAGAAGAAGCGCATGGGCATTTACAGCACGCTCAGCGGGCAGAACAGTCAAAGAAGCCAACGGCGCCTTCTCCATGACAACCAGCAGCATGACGATGGAGGTGATGGCAGTGACACAAGCGCTTGCCTGGCTTGAAACACAAAAATACACCCGCGTGTGTATACTCAGTGATTCAATGAGTATGATCCGGAGGGTTCAGGCAGGTTCAGTGCGAAGACAATGGCTTGAATCATTACAGAAGTCCACTGTCCGTGGAGTCACCTTTATTTTTGTTCCGGGACACGCAGGCGTCGATGGAAATGAAAGAGCTGACAGGTTGGCTGGATCCGCTATCACTACCGACGGTCAGCCTATGGATCATGCTGATATTATCAATGCCCTCAGAGAAATGGGAAGGATAGACGACTTTGGTGGCAGTGAATCCACATCACTCGCCAGAATGGCAGACTTGGGAATTAAGATCGGCACAGCAAAAAACGAGACGCACACCAGTTACGCCAGAAGACTTGTTAATCAACATAGAACTGGTACTATTAGCCATCGGACGTTGGGGTTCATACTGAGGGGAGGATCTGAGCACCTATGGACATGTCCGGAGTGCAATGAGGATAACCCAACTAACTAACTAACTAACTAACTAAGTAGTGGACCCAATGTTGAAACCTGAGGAACGCCTATATTTAACTGAGTGGGTTTTGAATAACGGTTACTGAGGGAGACTACCTGCTGCCTGTCAGACTAAAATGACTTTATTAATGTCACTAAATTATCGTTAGGTTTTAAGGTCTTAGTTTACTAATTAAAATATTGTGATCAACAATGACAAAGGCTTTCCTATAGTCACCAAATACCGCAC